CCAAACTAGACTCAAATGTAATTGGGAAATGTTTGACAAAATAAATCAGAATATAATATAACATAGATAATGTTAATATTTGGATTTCTAAGTCAATACGTGACCCACAAGGACTCTTAATGTATGATTTACTGGCCTCATCTCTGGTCTAAGGTGCCTGGAGTTTAAATGGCTTTGAATAATTGGAACCACAGAATTCCAAAGGGTCAAGGGACCTCAGGGATTATCAAGTTGGGCCCCTCTCCACACACACACACATACACACATACACACACACATACACACATACACACACACTACACACACACACATACACACACACACACACACAATTTACTGAAGCGGAACTGAGCCCTAGAGGTCACTGAGGTCACCCCGTGCACAGCTGGGACTTTTAAACCCAGGGCAAATGACTTCAGGACCACCACCTGTTTTGGCATTTTTAACCACACCATGGATTCATTGCCATATTTCAGTGAGGGAGTGTCTGTGAGCTAGCCTGGAGGGGAAGGGGGTGTACTTGGTAGGAGGAAAAAGAAAAAAGCACTGAATGCTGAATCCCACACCAAACCCAAAGTGGAAGAGGTTCAGTTACACCCTGGCAAATCATATATTCAACTGAACTAATCACACTAATTGGCTAATCATATCCCAAGCACTAGAATGTAAATGTCTCTGAAATACTTCAGCTGAGGACCCTATCACTGGGCAGTACCTGGTGCTTGGATACCAAGATTCTTCTGTGGGCACAACGAACAAGAAAGCATGGGGAAAAGCAGAGAGGACAGCAAATTATGACGAGGCTGTCCAAACTAAAGCATGGAATCTTTGGGGAGGCTTACGGCTGTGGCCAAAATAGAGCAGAGTCAAAGAGGAAAGAGGTCTTGTCTCTGGACCTCTGTTTCTCTCTGTGTCTGTTTTTGTCTTTCTCTGTCTCTCAAACACATACACACACACACAAATGACTTGGTTTGGCATAGGTTTGGCCTAGGATCATGGGATTAACACTTGGAAGGGACCTCAGAGATCTTCTGGTACCAGGAGTTCTCAGATTTTATTGTGTCTTAAATCCCTTGGTATGGCAGCTAGGTGGCACAGTGGATAGAGTGCCGGGCCTGGAGTCAGGAAGACCTGAGTTCAAATCCGACCTCAAACCCTTACTAGCTGTGTGATCCTAGGCGAGTCACTTACCCTTATTTGCCTCAGTTTCCTCATCTGTAAAATGAGCTGGAGAAGGAAATGGCAAACCACTCCAGGATCTCTCAGACATGACCAAAAATGACTAAAGAACAAAAGGATTCCTCGACCACTGTCTGGAGAAGCCTCTGGATCTCTTCTCAGAGCTGTGGCTTTAACTTCATAAAATGAAATGCAGCAGATTTCAAAAGAAAAAACTATACTGAAATAGTTATCAAAATATTTGAAACACAAAGTCAGAGAGGCCAGGTTAAGAACCCCTGGACTAACCCACCACTCCCCCCGTCATTTGAAAGATAAGAAAAATGAGAAGGGACTAGCAGAGGCCCACACAGCAAGCCAGAGAGTCAAGTCAAACTCTGGCACTGTGACTTCAATTTGAGATTCTTTCCATGGCACCAGATTGGCTCTCACTGAATGGGAATACGGGCCTGGGTGGGCACATTTGGAGAATTCATGGGACCCTGACAGTGGGTACATGAGGTCATCCTCAACCACATTCAGAGCATGTCCCTGGTACTTTGTTCTATGTCCATTTGCTTCAGGTGATACTTGGAGCTAGCCAATTGAACCAAGAAAGCCTTGAATGGTGTGGTGTCCCAGACCCTGGGATATCAGAAACAGCTTGTAGAAAGAAGCAGCCGGAGGCAAAAAGCCGCCCCTCAACTGAACACAGTTCAATTTCCCAAAGGAATGATGTCATTGATCTCATACCACCTGGGAATGCCTCTGAGAAGCACCCTACCCTGGAAATGACTTCTTATATGCTAAAAGACTTAGAGGTCCTGATCTCCCCTTAAGGCCATTTCTCTTAAGTTAAGGGCATACTTGAACCTAGAGACAGCTGATACAAGGTGGGCTATGGGGAGAGATGGTAGATACTGGATAAGGGCACACTAAATACACACAGCATGATTCCATCAGGCTCCTTCCAGAGACACTGCTTTCATAGCACAAATCCTCTCTCTGAAGAAAGAGTGCTCATCAAAACACAGATGCGTGGATACCTGAGAACAAGATAGATCTGACCACACTGTAGAGGTCTTTTCAATATAGAAGCCCCCAAACTTTCTCTGTTTCCTTTGAATGAGAAGGTTTCCAACTGACCCCCACCCCCTGCGTGCTCCTGGTCAATAAACCAGTCTTAGCTTGGCACCACGTTCAATCCTCTTGAGCAAATTAATAGGTCCATCCCTCAGCATCTCAGGCTCTGGGGGACAAATGAAGGCTCTCCCAGGCACTGTCATCAGGACATGGTCAGGTGCCTGAACCACCAGGTACCTCTCACCTTTTGCCTTCTACCCAGGGCACAACATCCCCAAATGGAAAAAAGAAGGCATTGGACTGGATAACTAGTGAAGTCCCTTCTAGAGTTGCCATTCCATGGTTCTATGGCCTTTTCTTTAAGAGCTTTTCTGGCCCTAACATATTATGACCCACGGATTTCCTGAAGCAGACCCAAATCCCCAAGCCCCCAAGAAGCTTACCTCTTCCTTAGCAGTCAGATAACCTTGGGGATGCAGAATTTTGTAGCCCTGATCAGTATTCAAACAGCCCCAAGGCGGGTAAGATCTTTGTTCTGAGGCATCGCACTGAAGTGGTCCTCAATGTAAAACCCTCGCTCCAGGAATCCTGGCCTGATCTCTGGCCTTGGACACCCACCTCTCGGTATCAGCAAGTCTCCCCAGCTTTCCTGCTGCCCACCAGAATGGTAATGTTGGGGAAGAGCCTGGAGGAACTCATCGTGGGAATGGCTGAGGAGCTCAACAGCAAGATCTGGGGTCTGCCCACTGCTGGGTGAAGCCACCAGGGAGTGGGCACAGCCGCTGGGGTGGCACAGGACCCCAGGTGAGCTTCCTGACCCACTCGGAGTCAGGAGGGCAAACAGGCAGACAGGTGGCTTTCTGCTCTCTGCTGGCTGGCTGCATGTGAGGCCCCTCCCGCCCTCCTGGGAGCTCTCAGTAGGTATACTTCACAAGAGTTAATCATGACTAGCTTTTTGTCTGGGGAATCAAAGGCCCCGAGGTAACTAGGACCTCTGCCTCTGTTTTGCCCCTTACTGCTTGCAAGCCCAGGGAAGGGGGTAGGGTGGGGGAAAAGATATTGAGCATATCCACTTGATTTTTCTTGGTGAAGATGGGCAGAGAGGCTCAAACCAGGAAGAGGAGACTGAAAATATATGAGTGGCCCACAACCCAGAGTTGGCTACACCCCAAGAGCACCACCCCTGCCAGGGGACAAGGAAAATGGTGGGCCTACCAGATGTGCTTTCTTCTTCTCTCCCGAGCTAATGAAAGCAGAAGGGAAGCTCTAGAAATCATGGCTAGCCCCTGACCACACTTACTCTACACAGCTTTGTTTCAGCACCATTTCCTAGCCTTTGTTTCTGGGGCAATCTGTGGGGGTCGGGGCGAGAGAGGAAAGATTGTTTATGGGAAACTTTTGAGAAGGGGCAATTATTTCTAAGGACTTTAGAATAAGGTCTATCCTAAAGGACGTACCTATTATCTGAGTTGCTCTTATTAACCAAGCCAACAGTAGGTAATTTGTGCTGAGGAAACTGAGTCACTGCACTGAGAGGGTAGAAGAACCATCTAAGGCCAGCCCCAGGGGAAAAGTGGCAGAGTTGGGATGGGAGTTTCTGCACTTCCTTCCTGAGGCACTGAAGCCCCAGCCTCTTGGGAAGTAGGCAAGAACTCAGTTCTTTTATTGTCCTAGTATGTAGGATTTTGGTTGGTCCACACTCGCTACCAGACAACATTTCTGAGGAGCCAGCTTCTTCCTGTCTCTGTCTGACCAAGAAGGAACAGCAGTGTCTCTGGCTCTCCTCAGCAGAAACCCAATGAGGCAGTACACTGATTTTGGAGGAAGGGAAGAAGGTAGCCTATATTTTTGTGCTTCCTCCCATACTCCACCTGGCTGGCTCTCCCTGGTCCCCTTGGGGTGAGCCCTGGGGACAGGAAGTGGCTGACATGGCCCAGGATATTGGGTCCCTGGAAGACCTGAAAGAATAGGGAAGAGGCTATAGGAAAGCCTGGATCCTAGACCAAGTCTCTGCCTGTAGCTGACCCAAGTCACAGGAGGACTTTCTCTAGGGCCATGAAGCACCTGATTGTTTGCCTGTGTTTGGTTCTCAGCTAAATTGTTCCCCAAGGTGCACTGATGTTTCACAACATATTTTCAACTAGACTTTTCCTGCAAACACACACACATACACACACACACACACACACACACACACACACACACACACACACACACATGCGCATAAGCACACATACTCCAGGCAGCTTTCTCAGGAGAAGAGGGAAGAAAGGTCAGGTTTGTGGACAGATGTGTAAGCAGCAATAACCCAAATCCTAAGGGCAGGATAGAGAAGTCTGGGCCAAGGGAGAAGCCAGCTCTCCCCAGGCTGATTGGTACTGCCCTGGAGTCAGGGTGACTGTTGGAATGGTCCAACAGTAGGCACATCACCCCAATGCACCAGCCCCTTCAGGTCCAGCAGCCTAAAGCTGCAATGAATCACTCTTCCTGCTGTGTTGACCCAAAGGCCCCTCCTGATCAGAAGGGGACAATACACCAAATTCATTCCCCTGAAAAACTAGTCAAAAGAGCAGCCGGTCCTCCCGCTGCAACAATGCACTGACAGGCAATGTTTGCCTAGGTCTCTTTGTTGTTTCAGGTATTGGGATGGTCTTCCTCTATTCCCCTACTCCTCACCCCAACAGGACAAGGTATTATGGCTCCTTTGACCCCTTGAATGCCATTGCTGCCCACAATAAAACCAGTACAACTTGTTCCATGAAATTATTTTAAAGGTGGCCTTTTCCATGGAACCTCTGGAAGGCCAAAGGCTCAATCTACATTCGCTAATGCAGTTTACAAGAACACTTCCCCAGTGGTCTCCCACCATCCATGCCCTCTAGGCGTTCAGAAGGCCAACCACATCATCTTCTCATCCAGAGCCATGTGTTAATAACATAGGCTGAGACCAGGGCAGAATAGAGCAGGAACTCCTTCTGACGCCAGCCCCTGCACCGGGCCTCCAGAGCCTGCAGTCTCCCAGAGATCTTATGCAGCTGCAGAGACAGAGAGAGAGAGAGACCCACACAGGGGGATCAGTCAGACCAGAGGCTGGGGGCTGCCAATGGGGAGGGAGAAGGCCTGGGGAAGAGGTATAAGGTTCCAATGGGACAATCACAGGCTATGAATGGGGCTGTGAAGAGAGCCCAAGTTCTCCAAAGCCAAAGGCTAAAAAATCAATAACCACATCACCGTGGCACAGGGCAAGCTGAGATACTCGGGCACACAAAAGGAAAAGTGCATATCAGGGTCTCAACAGATGCCAACAGAAAGCAGCTCCCCTTTGTCTGCCCATCCCCCAAGATCTTCCTGGGGAGCTCCTACTTCTTCAAGACCCAACACTAGCCTTCCCAGTCATGCCAGAGACTAGTCAGAAATTCAAGGAAACTTGAGCCAGCCAAGCCAATCGACAGTGAGGTCTGCTTTCTCCCCACCCCCACGTTTTTCCATTCCTAGTAGCTCCCTAAATACCTATCAACAGGAATTTTGGAGCTGGAAGGGCCCTTAGATATCATTTAGTCCAGAGGTATCACTCCTAAGTGCAGCTGAACCAGATTCAGATGTCATTGGGAAATATTTAATGAAATCCATCAAAACACAATAAAAAAGACATAACATGACATTTTCAAATGAAGTCAATGTGTGGCCCACAGGGATCCTTATGGAGTGATTAGCGCCCCAGTTTCTATTTGAGTTGCACATCACTGATCTAGTCCAACCCCCTCACTTTATAAATGGGGAAACTGAGACCCAGAGAAAAGTCACTTGCCCATGGCCATCTAGGTCGTAATAGGCAATAGAGCTAGGTTTCGACCTCAGGGCCTCTGACTTCAAACCTAGTAGTCTTCCCGCTATACTAGGGATAAAAAGACAGGCATTGCCTTTTTTATCTTATGCTGAATGGGCTCAGCTTCTCTCTCAGGGAGCTATGGGAAGCAGATTTCAGCTAAATAAGGGAGAACATCCTAAAAATTAGAACTGTCCAACAATAGAACAGGCTGCCTCTTGAGATGGCAAGTTCCCCATCTTTGGAAATCTTCAAGTGGACAGGTCTTCTGATTCTTGAGGGAGACTTATGCATTGTATAGAAGGATAACTTAGGTGAACCCTGAGATCCCTGAGCTTTTAGAGCCTATAGTGTCCTGTTTGTCTCATGAGGGGCTCCAGGCTCCCCTTCCTGAGGCCATGAGTCCAACATGAGACAGCACGTACAACCTGGGGCCCTAGTAGCTTGATTCCTTTCCCCCAGTATCTCACCTGCTTTTTCAAGGCAGCGATCTCCATCCTGCCCGCATCTTCACTGGCCAATCCTTCACGAGAGCTGAGAAAATGACAAAAAGACAAGATGGAGTAACTGCTTTCTTGGAGTCAAAGTAGCTCTGTGTAGATGCAGGCCAAGCCTAGTTGCACCGAGATAGGTGGCAGCAGGGAAAGGGGCCTAATTCTGCAGCCCAGTGACAATTCACCAACTCAGGACAGGCTACCTTAACCAGTATGTGCTCACCAACAGAGAGACTCCACTTATCATAAAAGCTATTTGCTTCTGTGCTTAGATTTCAGCCAGTCCTCACTTTGGTTGCTGTGGGGAGCCTACTCATTACTGAGATCACACCCAGAACATGCAAACAATGGCCCCAGCCAGGAGGGATAAGGGGACTGAAAGGGTGATTGGGCTGCTTCTAGGGGGCCTAGCTCAGCACCTAGGACAGAGGCCCTCAGGCATAGCAAGTAACTTTCAGTACTGTGCTGATTGATACAGGGCATGGAATGAAGGCCCCATTGAGCCTTTCATTGCTGGAAGTCTAGAAGGAAACCCCTCATTGCAAGTAAGCATGGCAACTCTTCCTGAACAAGAGGGCTCAGAACTTATTGCTCTATAGCCCCCTTGGCAAAGATGCTACCTCTGAAAGCCCCGGTGACACCTTAACTGTGACCACCCTAGGGAGGAAGGGTGTCCCAGAGGGCCTCAGGGAAATGAAAAAACCTTAAACCCTCTGCATAGGGTCAGAGAGGAAGGTAGCAGAAGAGAGCAGAGAATCTGGGGACCCTTGGACAGAGCTTTCTAGAGTGACACTAGCCAAGGTGAGAGTTTGCTAAAAAACAAAATGCAAAGCTCGTGGTGATTGGGAGTCTGAGCAGGGCTCCAATCTCTGCTGTGCACAGAGCCACTGGCAATCATAATATACAAGGTGTTCCAAAAGTCTTAGTGAAGTCTTAAGCTTTAATAACTGTGTATAATACATATTTATCCTATTATATTAATTCTTATATTGTTATATTTATCTTAATGTACTAAATTATCATATTTATTACCTTAATGTAGGAGAAATAATGTTTATTCTATATTAAGATAATAAATGTTTATCTCAATATGATAAACAAATGTTTATTATCTTAATATAGAATAAATAATGTTTATCCTATATAAATATAATAAACATTTATCTTAATATACAATACTATTTATTATAAATTTTCTGTATTCTATATAATATCTATTCTATGTAATAGCTATTAAAGCTTAAGACTTCACTAAGACTTTTGGAACACACCATATGGGCATGTCTAGGGGCATACCATTATTAATCCCCCTAGGGTGTGAAGGAGTAGCAAAAGATGAATGAATGAGTGGGAAAACATCTGGAAAAGTATAAAGTACTGTGATTACCATTACTATCATTGTCATTATACGGTATAACTTAAAAATTCATGTTCCTTTAACCAAAACATATGAACTTTTTTTCAGGTAAAGAGGATGACTGTTAATACCAAGTCTATCCGATCCTATACAGTGGGATGCAATGCGTTACCTGAGGGCCACGCCTCTGATTAAGCCAGGGTTTCTATGCTGAGTAGTTCCTAAGCAGGTCCAGCGGCCCGAGGGCGGGAAGAAGGGTTTACTGGTGGAACCTGTGCAGTCTTGACAACTTGACGATTCTTGCCCTGTTGTATGCCCCTCCCCCCTGCCAAAGGAATACTCAATGCACCTCCTGTCAAGAAAGCAGGGCCCGCCATCCCAGAAGGGTCTCTCTGGCCCCCCACCTAGCCCACAGGATACTAGAGGCTAGGTAAGGGAACAGACCAGCACAGAGATAGGAAGTAACACACAAAATAGGGCTAAGGGCCTCTTTCCATCCAGCCACAATTAGGAGGTGAAGTAAGAAGTCTCAAAGGGGGCTTCTCTGCCCCTTTCAATTCCATAGTCATCAGTGTAGACAAGGAAACCAACCCAATGAGAAATGGTTGACTGCAGGGAGCTGGGCTCAAGGGCCAGGAGCTGTTGCTGTTAGCGACCAGAAAGCTCGTTAGTGACATGGTAAGGGGCCCTGACTGGTCATGGTTCTATAAGCAATCTCTGAGTCTGCTCGGGCCTTAAAGGAAAACCTCCTTTTGTTTCTCCTCTCCATCTTCCTGAATTCCCAACACTGAGGAGTGATCTTAGCTGGTCAAGAGGTAACAGGAAGGTGGCAGAGGATGCTACAGTTATGGAATGCCCCCCTGCTCGGTTCCAGATCCCTGCTAGGTTGGAAAGCACATGGTCACATAGCCTAGCTCAAATAGAATGGTGGACACAGGCCACAGCCATGCATACACACAAAACACACATGTATGTGTGCTGAGTGTTAACCAGAAATAAACAAGGGCCCAGGTCACCTGGGCTGCCCAAGGGGCTAGAAGATCTTCTGAAGACGGTGAGAGAACAAGAGCCCCAGGAACCACACTGTCTAGAAGACATTGTGCGGGGAACAGATCCTATCTCCCTGTGTAGAGGCAGGGAAGAACTCCCTCTTGTCTCTGGCCTGTAGAACATAAAAACACACACACACACACACACACATACACACACATACACACACACACACAACACACACACACACACACACACACACACACAAATACACACACTGAAGTTATTTTTCCAGGGGTCCCAGGGAAGCTCTCTGTCTCTCCCCCCGGCAGCAGCAGATGCCAAGGCTGGGCCAGTGAGGTGTGGGCAGCAGAGGTCCCTCTACTGGCCACGATCCCACCAGCCTCAGGGTTGCTGCTCCAGGCTCCTCAGAGGTAGGATCAGGCCCAGCTGGAGCCAACTTCCAGGAATGCTGGGTTTGGCACAAGTGGCCTTTGTGGTGAGAAAAACAAAGCTTGGGGATAAGAAGAGAATAGCACAATAAAGCCTATGGACCAGACTTAGGGAATGGCTTTACGAAGGGTAGAAGGGAAACTTCCCAGTGTGGGCACCAGAACAGGAGTGGAGATCAAGAAAACCCATTGGAGGCCAGGAGAATCCTAAGGCCTTATATTATATGCAGTGCTGACAATCTTAAAAAAGCATTTTCTCAAAGACTCTCTCATTTGAGCTCCTCAGTCCAGTGAGATAGACACCAAATGAGATAATATTTGTAAAGCACTTCCCCACTGTGCCCCACACATAGTAGGTGCTATGTGAATGCTGATTCACTCTCTCCCTTCCCTCCCTTCATTTTACACATGATGAAACTGAGCATCGGAGAGATTACAGGGTCATAGGGGAAGATATGATAGGGGTTAGACCCACCAGCGGGAACTAGGATGGCATGTCCTCCTGTGAGCAGTAACACACACACACACACACACACACACACACACACACACACACACGCACGCACACCCAAAATGTACCAGTCAATCAAAAAGTGGTGGCCACTGGCACAATTAATTTCCTGCTTGGTTTTCCCATGAGTATTGGGTCTGGGGATAAGAGATGAGCAGCCTGGAATGCAATATACACACAGCCTAAAGGTTAAGGACAATTGTTTTTTGGGTTGTTATATGAAATTCACGTAGATGACAATATTTTTGTTTTCAGACTTTGGGGCAGAAAATTTGTTCAAACTTCTTTGCTTGTCATTCAAGTTCCTCCAGATTCAAGGAGTTCCCCTCTCACCTTTCTAGCCTTATCTCACACTAGTCTGCCCCCATATACTCTCCACTCCAGGCATGCTGGGCATCCACACTGGTGTCTTCAGACATCTCCCCACCATAGGCCTTCTCTTTGTGTCTGCAAAATGTTAGTTACTCTTGAGAGCATCTGCTCCTTCCAGGGCTGACTTCCCCTGCAGAATTTTAGGCCAGAGAACCTACCTATCCTTTCTCTGAACTTTTGGAAATCTGCTCATGCCAAATCTAGGATGCAGGACAACCTCAAACCCACTTTCTTCTCCTCTATCACAAAGTATCTCTTCCAGATACACATACTTACATGCCACTTTTTCTCCCTTTATACACACATGTTACTACTCTATCTCCCATACATACATGTGTATATACAAGACCCTCCATCTCCTATGTATATATGCATGCATGTATATACAGAATCAGTGTGTATGTATATATGCAATGGCACTCTGTCTCACTCAAACATATGTGTGTATATATACACATATATACGCATATGTAGACATGTATACATATATTTGTTTATATACTACTCTATCTTCACCATATGTATGTATACATATGTATGTGTATATACAATGACTGCCCATTTCCCCATGTAAATGTAAACATATATATAATGCCACTCTATCCTCCCAACACTTGTTTCTGTATATATGTGTGTTTCTGTCCATGTATACACACACACACACATACACACAGTCAACCTCCTTCATATATATTTGTGTCTATGTGTGTGTGTACCACTTTATATCCCCATATCATACATACGTATGTATGTCCGCATATAACCACAGTGCTACTCTTTCTCCTCATACATGTGTATGTAGGTGTGTATGTAGACGTGTATGTGTGTATATGTATTTATATAATGCCACTCTATCTTCCTCATATCTTTTGTCTGTGTGTCTCTATAAATATATATATATGTGTGTGTGTGTGTGTGTGTGTATACATATACAATGCCAGTCTGTCTTCTCCATGTGTGAATATTTATGAATATGTGGTAAGTATGCATGTCCATCTTCCTCATTATCAATTTTTATGTATACGTGTATATACAATGCATTCTACCTCCTCTATCTCTATTTTCATGTATATATGTGTATATAATGTCAGTCTATCTTCCCCATGTGTGTATGTATATGTATATATTTATATATACAATGATAACCTCTCTCTCCCTATCTATTTTATGTGTATGTATGTGTGTGTGTGTGTGTGTGTGTGTGTATGTATGGATAAATAACCTATACACAGGGCAGCTAGGTGGCAAAGTGGATTGAATGCTATGTCTAAGTCAGGAAGTCTCATCTCCCTGAATTCAAATCTGGCCTCAGACACTTCCTAGTTGTATGACCCTGCATAAGTCACTTCACCCTGTTTGCCTCAGTTTCCTCATCTGTAAAATGATCTGGAGAAGGAAATGGCAAATTATCCCAGTATCTTTGCCAAGAAAATCCTAAATGAGGTCACAAAGAGTCAGACATGACTGAAATGACTAAACAAAAATACCCATACATAGATAATGCCATCCTATCTGTTCATATCTATTTTTCTGTGTGTGTACACACACACATATATATATATATATATATATATGTATACAATGAGTCTATCTCCCTATACATGTATGTGTATATGCATGCATGCATGCATATACATACAATGCCACTGTATCTCCCCCATACCCATGTATGTATGTGTCTATGTATATCTCCAATGCCGCTCTATCTCCCCGCACATGTGTGTCTATACATATACACGTGCATGGAGAGATAGAGTGACATTATTGCTATATGTATACATATGCATCCATCCAGATACACATATGTACAGTGATTTTCATAGATAGGCCTCCAGAGGTAAATGCCGATGCAGACACACTTTTCTTTATGAATGAGGTTCCCCCAGCAGGGCCGTGGAGCTGTCACGACTCTCAGCCCACCACGTCTCCATCATGCTGAAGGAATCAAATGTGGCCCTGCATGGCGGCTTCCAATCTGCCTTGTCAGTGGTACCCACTTTATGCATTCAAGCAGAGAACCCGGAGGCTGAGGGTTTTATTGTTTTGGCATCTTTTTCCTTTGCTCGTGGGATTTCCTTTCCCATCCACCCCATTCCCTGGCTGTTGAATCCCCACCCACCTCCAATCCCTCCAGCTGGTAATGACCTCTGCCCTCTCAAACTTCACATCAGACTTTTCTTACACCTCAGGCCTGCGTTTACAATAATAACTGAAACAGCTTAGCACAGTGCCTGGCATACAGTAAGTGCTTAATAAATGTTCATTGAGCTACTTTACATTTTTCAAACTGTTTTGCATACATTATCTCACTGTTCTCACAACAACCCAATGAGGCAGGTATTATTTAAACCCTTATTCACATTTTAGGCTCAGAGAGGTAGTCACTTCCCCATGGTCACACAGCAAGTAATCATCAGAGGCATTTTTTGAACCCAAGTCTTCCTGACTCCAAGTCCAGAGCTTTATCCACGCAGCCATACACTATCTGCAAGTATTATTTTGTACTATCTTTTTGAATGTGTCATCAATCAATCAACATTTATTAAGCAGCTACTATGTGCCAAACACTGTGCTAAGGCCTGGGGATACAAAAAAGAGAGAAAAGACAATCCCTGGCCTCAAGGAGAGTGTAATCTAATGAGAGAGACAACAAGCAAACAAGTCTGTACAAGACAAATAGGAAACAACGAACAGAGGAAAGGCACTGGAATTAAGAGGGCTTGGGAAGGCTTCCTGTAGGAGGCGGGAGTTTATCTGGGATTTAAAAGAATCCAGGGAGAACATTCCAGCCAGATAAAATACCCAAGGCAGAGAGACAGAGTGGCTTGTTCATGGAACAGCCAGGAGGCCAATGGCACTCGGGGAATAAGGTACAAGGAGACTGGAAAGGTAGAAGGGGGCTAGGTCATGTCCCCCCATTAAACTGAAAGCTCTTTAAAGACAGATAGTATGTGTATCTCCTCGAATTTCTGCTTTGGGCTGTCCAAAGTAGAGGCTCATTAAATGTTTGCTGAATTAAAAACACTCATTGGAATTCAATTTGGGGTGACAGTGAGCCACGCTCCGAAGTTTGGCCTCCAAACTCCTATGCCTGGGCTCCACCAACCTCAGCGGCAATGATAGGAAACCAAGCATTCTCAAAATCCAGGTGGGCAGCAGGAGCATACCAAGAATTCCTCTTTGCTGTCACGGACCACAGCAGAAACAATAGCAGGAAAAAAATAAAAGAAAAAAACAACTCTTCAGGTATTTGAAAATAGAATTATGGAGAGGGAGTGTTCATTGAAAAACACTAGCTGAAACCTTCTGAGCAGCCACATCTCTCATAGATAGTTAGCTCCTCTGTCAATCCAGACAATTCAAGACCGTAGGGATTGGCTCAGGGCACATAGAGAAACTAAGTCCTGGAGAAAGAAGGACTTTGTCTAAGGGTGCACCCCAACAGAATCGTACTAGTCTGCTGAATGTGTTCATATGCCTTTCTTTCTTTTTTTTTTTTTTTTTGCAAGGCAATCGGGGTTAAGTGACTTGCCCGGGGTCACACAGCTAGTAAGTGTCAAGTGTCTGGTCTGAGACTGGATTTGAACTCAGGTCCTCCTGACTCCAGGGCCAGTGCTGTATCCACTGTGCCACCTAGCTGCCCCACCCAACATGCTTTTCTTGTGTGCATACAACCAGCTGGGATGTCTCTCCCCCGCTCACGGGTAAATTCCCTGAAGGTAGCAACTATGATTAGAGTTTCCTATGTAACTCTGCTCACTGCCCAATAAAGCAGGTGCACCATTCTCAAAAGAACATGTGCCAACTCAACATGGTCAAACTTCAAGGTTCTCGAACCCTCTCGCCTTTGTGAGTTGTGAGTGTTGTGTGTTGAGCCCAGAGACAAGGGATTCATTCCACTTACCCCTCTTCAAGATTCACCATGCTTTCAGCTACCATGGGGGTGTCCTCACCACAGGCTTGATCCTTTACGGATTTGCTTATTGGAGAGATCTAGGGTCCAGAGAAATTTAGGGAATGAGCAAGACACCATGTTTTAGTGATCTCCGCCCACCCTTCTTCCCAGAACAAGAGCATGATGGGAAAGCAGGCTTTCCCACCCACCTCCACCCTGCATTGTTAGGGCTGTTGCCCTGACATTACCTCCCTCTTTGTCCTGAATATATCAAGTACGTACATCATTTTTTGCATGTTGTCTTCTCCAATAGAATGTTTACTCCTTGAGGGAAGGGACCCTATTTTGGCCTTAGTTTTGCTTAGCATAATGCCTGGCACAGATTAACAAATGCTTATCAGCTGGCTGACTATTGTTTCTCCCATTGTCTGAATTGACATGTAAGGGAGCTGTTGGTGGGTTGAGTCTTAGGCCCTTTCATGAGGGCTATGTTACAAGGGTATGCACACACCCCAGTTAAGAGTCCAATTTCAAGAGAATATAGACTACATAAGAGAACAGTTTGTGAAATAAGGTTGGAAAAATCAATTGGAGCCAGACTGTGGAGAGCCTTGAAAGCCGGGCTAAGAAGTTCATGTTTGGGCCCAGAGGCCAGAGAGAGCAGCTGAAGATTTCTGAGCAGAACGATGTGTGCCCTGGGCAGATTTGGGAAGGACAACTTGCAGAGGCAAGAAGAGCAATTAGGAGGCTCCGGCTATCGTCCAGGGCCTGAGTTAAGGTGGCAGCTGCCTACAGATGTTTCTTGGTACTGCCATTGCTACACTGAGAAAATGAAACATACCTCAGCTGTTGTGGAGTTACAGAAGGCAATACCTGGCAACCAAGTAAATATGAGGAGCAAGGAAGAAGGGAAGAGTTAAGGATGCCCAACCTCTGTGAGAAAGGCGAGTGCCCTGGCGGCTGCCAGAGCTAAGGGTGGCAGGCCACACCAGAGTCCCTGCCTGCAGAGGGGCTCCTTGCTCTCTGCCCTATTGTTTCCCCTTCTACTTTGTTTGAGGAATAATAATGATAATAATAATAATAACAGCTAAAGTTTATATAGAGCTTACCATATGCCAGGCACTGCATTGGGCATTACAATTATTACCTAAATTGAATCTTCACAACCACCCTGGGAGGTAGGTGCTGTTATTATCCCCCATTTTACAGATGAAGAAACTGAAGCAAACAGAGGTTAAATGACTTGCCCAGGGTGACAAAGCTAGTAAGTGTCTGAGGCCAGATTTGAACTCAGAGCTCTATCCACTGTACCCGTGTTTCCCTAGCAAGTTCTTCCATGCTTTCCGGCCTCCTTCAGCCTCGCTCTACTATTTTCTCCCAACTAGCTTCTGAAGCGGGCCAGTCAGCACGGGTTCCCAAGTAATCTGCCCAAGTTGTTCAAATACGTTAGAATCCATGAGGGTGGGGCATTATCTCTGATTCATCTTTTGATTTCCCTAGTACCTAGCAGAGGGTCCCAACACATCAGAAGCCCTGAATAAACTCTTTCTTGAGAGAATGAAAGGCACAATGCCACTAGTGAACAAATGAACATACTCCACAAAGCAAATCTGGATATGGATTCAGACCAAAACGCCAACTAGAAATCTGGGCAAGAGGCCAACCCCAAAGCAACCCCTCCCCCCCACTTCATCTCTGCCTCTGTGCTCAACAATCTACTTGGTGGTAGACCCTTTAACAGACCACTCCAAGGGGCTAGGGGTCAAAGAACACAACAGACTTAGATGATGCACAGCATAGGGCAGAATTCATCAATAATCCAGGGTTTCTTAGGTCAATCTTGTCTCACAGAGACCCTGAGGGAGGAGACAAGTTGGTGTCAGTAGGCTTTTTGGGGTACAGGTTCACAGTTGGGCGTTGACAAGAGCATGGTCTGAAATCAGGATGCTGCACAAACAATGACTCAGGACTTGATCTGTTCCAGTTACCATGGGGACATTTTTTTCTAGGGCACTCTCCTCTTGAATTTCCTCCAACCCTTCCTCTACTTTCTAAATTGCCATTTACTTTAATGCTGGGGCCTTTTAGTATGGGTCACTAAGACAAGGTATCATTTCAGAAATGACAGGCCATAATGTTGACTGCCATACCACAGAAGCCCTGTGCCCAATCACTCCTTTCTAGAATGAACTCTATGGTCCCTTTGGGTTCTAAATCAATGAACCTATGAACCACAGATTGGTGCCTTGGGCCCAGTGCCAAGCCCTTCTTCTCACTGGGCTGTCAGAGGCATATCTACTCTGTGTTCAGGGCCAATGAGGCACTGATTGGCTCAGTGGGTTTCCCTTATAGAAGCCTAGAGGCTGTCCAGTGCCACAGGAAGAAAGGACCTCACCTAATCCTACAGTGTTCAGTCCCAGATGTTAGAAATAACTATGACATTATTGTACTTAGAGCCTCTGCAGTTTCCAGAACCCAGGAAGTAGCTAAGGCTTCAGTAGAATGGAAGTTCTCTGAGGGCATGGGCTGTTGCTCTGTGTGTGTGTGTGTGTGTGTGTGTGTGTGTGGTAGCCCCAGTGCCTAGCAATGCTTTTCATATATTGCATATATAAGAAGTGTTTGTAGAATGGACACATTACCATTCTTATTAGTCTGATGCTACTAAAGGCAGCTGAGAAAGGGCTGTTAGTGGCCAGGTAAGAAGCAGGAACCAGGATACTGGGCATGTAGGTTGAGCTCTGATGCAGCTGGTTAATCCAAAAAGATCTTGCCCCATCACTGCGATCTAGGGAGAAGAGAGAAGGTTCCATTCATTCACGTAGCTGTTTGGGCCCTGGTCTCAACAAGGCATCAGGGGGTCCCAACCAAAACCCCAAGAACAGCGGTGCTCCTGTGGCTTCCCAGAGTAATCACTATGTCTTGCCAGTACCTGGCACAAAATTAATCTGTCGGTGTTCTCCTGCCCATGCCTAGGCTCATCTCCCACTCTAAACAGAATCCCAGAATTCTAGCTGGGTTCTTTCCCCCCAGATCTAGGAGTTACTGACTAGCCTTTGCAATCAACCCTTGCCCTGACCAGGGCCACTCAGAACACATCTCACTGCTCACATGGCTTGACGAGTTGAGAGTCACAAACTCTTTTACTTTTAATGAGGTAGAAGACCATCAGTCTCTATTCCCTACAAACCCCTGTGGCCATCTGATCCACCGACTTTACCTAAGGACCCCTGCCTGGGTCATGCCATCTGCCCTTCCCCAGAGCCCTGAAGTTTTGCAGGCTTTTCTATGTACCCTATTTCCCAAGTCAGAGAATGGGATCCTTGAGAACAGGGCTTGTCTTACTCTATTTGGGCTCCCTGATACCTAGCAGAGAGCTTGGCACCTAGTAAATGCTTACAAAAGCTTTTGGATTCATTCATTCATTCAGTGCCTTCATTTGACACCTTCACCCTGCATTGGCTAAGTTGAAATGATATGGGAGCTCGGAGTCAAAGACTGGGACAGGCACAGCCTAAGGACTGGTAGACAAACTGAGGCCTCAGATGAAGAAGGTTCAGATGGGAAGTTATATTTCAACAGGGAGAAGTCTAGAGAAACATGACACCTTTGAAATGGAAATCTCTAACATCCTGACACAACAGAGCAGGATAAAGTGCCTTGGGCAACTGGATTTTTGACTAAGAAGACTTGGATTTCAATCAGGGCTCTGGCACTTACTAGCCAGGTGACCTTGGACAAGTGAATTTACCTCTCTTAGCCTCAAGTGCTATTTTTGCTTTGTTTATTTTTTTGTAAAAATAAGATAATATTGTGTCCAGCACTTACCTGTAGAGATGCAAGAATAGTGTGGCTGAAAGAAGGGAGGCCTTAGAGTGAGGAAGAACTAGATTGGAAATCCTGCTCCTGCTGTATACCAGCTGTCCCAACTAAATCAGGGCTTATAGCTAAGTGACCCTAGAGAAGTCATTTAACCACTAAGTGTCTCAGGCACCCCTCTCAGACTAAGTGATAGCCAAGTGCTATTCTGCATTAGGGGATGGAGTTAGCATTCCAGGAGTTCCCAGCACCTACAAAACTACAGTTCCTTAAAAAGAAAGAAAACAAACCCCACCAGCTGATCTGCTAGGATTGTCATAAGATCAAGTAAGAGAAACTGAAAAGTGCTTTATAATCACAAAGCACTGTCTAGATGGTAGCTACGGTTACTGCTTAATATTATTAGTCTATCTCAGCCTGGAGGCCATGAGACACAGTAGCTGCAAAGCTCCACAAAATGGCCGCCCAGGAAACCTGGCAATGCTGTCCAGTTCCGAGCCAGGGACCAAGGCCCAGGCCCAGTTCTCCGGCCTCCATCATGTCTTCTCTGATTCTCCCAGCCAGAGATCGTCTTCCTCTGCATTCACCCAAGTGAGCTTTTTAATGGAATAAGCTGCTGGAGCTCTGGAGAGAAGCCATGACACCCCGGCAATGCTGTTCACCCCAGCCACAGCCACTTTGTTGGATCAGTCCAGCTGCCCAGCAGATGCCGCGGGCCAAATAGCCAGTGATGACATGGGGAGCAGTTACAGCACCCCTGAATCCCTAGTACTCCATGCTGTGGGAGAAGTTACAGCACCCCTGAATCCGTAGTACTCCATGCTGTGGGATAAGCTAACAGGCCTAGTCTAACCGGCACCTTCCTCGACTCCCCCTTTCCAATCCTCCCTTCCACCCCCGTCCCCCCAGTGTCTCTCCATCTAGCTCCAAGGCCACGGGGGAGGGCAGGGGAGCAGAGGCACGACTCTGTCTGGCCACTGGAGATCTCATTATAGCTCAGGGAGCTAGCAGAGGAGGGCACTGAAAGCCAACACTGCCACCCAGGGGCCAGATGGCACGTTGCTGGGGAGCATTGCCCGCTCAAAGCTTCCTGATGCTGCCTGCCTCAGGCTCCCTCTCATCTGCAGCCTTTGCCTTCAAGCTCCTGACAGACACACTGAGATGAAAGGTACTAGGTCCAGGCATCTTAGCTGCTTAGAACTGGACACCTGTGCTTTGGCAGAACTGGCAGGAGAACAGAGGGCCTACTCCTTTACCTTCCCAGCCCCTGGGGTCTAGGCCTGTGGGCAGATCTGATAGAAAAGCCATGAGCATTCCTCATGGTACTCCATCTGAGCCCACAATGAAGGTAGCTTAAGTCACACACACACACACACACACACACACACACACACACACACACACACACACGGAGCTGGGGGATTTTCTGTACTCTTACCCCATAACAGCAGGCGATCAGGAATACTCATGTAGAAAGACAGAGGCAGATTGTCTGACATTTCCCTGGCTTCCTCTCTACTGACCCCTCCGGCCACGTTCAGATGGCTAAAGACTTGCACATTCTGATTGACAACATCGGTGAAATTCAGATCTCCCCAGAGGTGAGATGAGCCTGCGGACCAGGCTGAAGTTAACATAGCTTCTCCTGAGAAGAGGGAGGATATAAGAAAACCTTTACCATCACCTTCCTACATCATGTGAAGATTGGGGCAAGGGAAGAAGAGTCAGGAAGCCATTTTGAGCTCTGAGCACAATCTCAGCAATCACCCAGGAAGAAGGAGGAGCTGTGTCCAGTTCAGGTTCTGGAACAATCAGAACTTACCTGATGAAGAATACAAAAGAAACAGATATAGACCTTTGGCTTCCCAGAGGTTTTCACCAGACAGAGAAAGGAGAGAATTGAGACATCCTTCCTGGTCATAACAATCCATTTTATCCCTTTCCCTGCCCCACCTCACTCCTCTTCAAGTCCCTAGTTACAAGGAAGAACTATGGAGCTACAAACAAGCCTAGACCTAGGCCCAGAGTCACCCCTCTCCCATGGTTTAAACTGGATTGGACAGGGTTCAACCTAGAACAGGAACCCGCCTCAGCCTGGAACAGGAACCAGCCTCAGCCTGGAACAGGAACCCGCCTTAGCCAAGGTGTTCCCTTGACTAAAGATATGTTCAGAAAGAGAAATTTTTTTTTCTAGTTAAGATATAGCGCCCCACCCCGCTCCCACCAAAACACTATCTCAACCTCAGGTGAGGGGGCTGGGGATACAAAAACATGTCTTTGAGGAGACTAGACTGGGGACTCCCTCCCACCACCCCACCTCCTGCTCCAGAATGGGGGATAAATACCGCACCTCGCCCCAGCAGCTTTTTCTTAGAAGACTAGACAGGAACTTTTGTTTTGGCCCCCTCCTCCCTGTCTCCTGCCCCAGAGTGGGAATAAATATCCTCTCCCTCACCCCCAACAGCCTTCCCTTAGAAAACAGGACTTATCTACTGTCTCCTGCCCCAGACTGAGAAACAAATGCGCCTCAAGTGTCTTTTATAAAGAAACCCCCTTCTTTTCCCCTCTTTCCTGCCTCCTGCCTCAAAGGAGGAAGCAAATGCCCCCCAAGAACCTTCTGAAAACTGTTTCTCTCCTACCTATCTCCTACCCCAAAGTTAGGAACAAAGATCCCCAAGGTTTTGTTTTTTCCTGAAGAGCCTAGAGCAGAACTTTCCCCCATCCCCACCCTCACTGCCTCTGTGCTGCCTGGCTTGTCACAAAATGGAGGACAAATATACTTCAATAGTCTTCTGAGAAAACGATACTGGGACCCCATTTTTCCACTCCCTTCTGTCTCCTGCCCCAGAATGGGGAATAAATACTCCCAACCACCTTTTCTGAGGGGATTAGGATCTTCTTTCCCTCCCCCATATTTTTTGAGAAGAATGTACTAGGGCCCTTCTCCCCAAGCCCATGTTCCCTGATGAGGAGCGTCTCCCTTTCCCTTCTTTTCTGAGAGGGCTGGAGACATCCCCTCCTTTCTTTCTTGTCCCAACATGGGGAATAAATGTCCCCAGTGGCCTTTTCTGAAGAGACAAGACTAGGATCTATTCCTGTCTGCCCCCTCCCTGCTTCTAGTCATCTGCCTCCAAACGGAGAGCAAATCTCAGTCTTCTCTGAGAAAACCAGAACAGAGGCCCTTTTCTCCCGTGAATTCTGTCACCTGCCCGTGGGTGGAGAACAAGCCATCCCCCTCCCAACTGCCTCTTCTGAAGGTGACTGAACCTGGACCCGTTTTGCCCTTGGCAGCTGGTGGCACAGTAGATAGCCCCTCAGCCCAGAGTCAGGAAGACCTGAGTGCCAATCTAGCCCTCAGACACTTCCAAGCTCCATGTGACTCCGGACAAGTCACTTCACCTCTGTCTACCTCAGTTTCCTCACCTGTAAAATGGAGATAATAATAACATCTACCTGCCAGGGCCATTGTGAGAATCAAATGAGATAAAATACAGAACACACTCAGTATGTTACCTGATACATAGCACTTAATAAACGCTTCATTCCTTCCTCAGTTCTTGCTGTCCCCTGCCTCTAGGAGAGCAAATACCCCCCAACCATATTTCTGAGGAGGCTAAAGTAGGATCCATTCTCCTCCTCCCCACCATGTTCCCCCCTTCCTATTTCCTACCTGCTTCAAAAAAGAAAGCAAATATTTACTCAGTCTTTTCTGAGGAGGCCAGGGGAAAGACCCTTCTTTTTTCCCCTTCCTCTTCTCTCTCCCCTTCTCAGTATTTTCTGAGGAGACTGAACTGGGGATCCTCCTCCCTCCTTTTCCTGCTCCTGCCCTAAGATGAAAAACCACCACCACCACCACCACCACCACCACACACACACACACACACACACACACACACACACACACAATCTTTTCTGAGAAGACTGGAACCCTTTCCCTGCCACCCCCCCTCCACAATTCTTGTCTCGTGCTCCAAGATTGGGAGCAAATGTCTCCCTCCACAGCCTTTTCTGAGGAAATGAAACTCATCTCCCCCCACTTCACTCTTCCTTGCCTGCTGTCTCCTACTCTAAGCTAGAAGGAAAACGTCTCCCTCCACTGCCTTTTCTGAGGAAACTGGACTGAGGCTCTTTCCTCCTCCCCTCCTCAGTGCTTGCTGTTGTCTGTCTCTAGGAGAAGAAATTCCTCCCCAATAGCCTTTTTTGAGGAGATTGAACTGAGACCCTTTTTTCCCTCCTCACTTCTTCCTGTCCCCTGTCTCTAGGAGGTAAATTCCCGCCCAACAATATTTTCTGAGGAAACCAGATGAACTATGATCCTTCTCCTCATTGGCTCCCTGCCTTTTTATGTTCTACCTCAGAATGGAAAATAAATGTTCCTCAACAGTCTTTTCTGAGGAGAATAAGCCAAGATTTTTCTTTTTGACCCCCCTTTCTCCTGCCCCAGGGTGCCTCCTAATGATATTAGGACCCTTCTGCCCACCCCACCCCCACAAATGGGGAGCAAATGTCACCAACGGCCTTTGCTGAGGAGACAGGAATAGAACCCTTCCACCCACCCACCCCCACCTCTCTGCTTTCTCTCTTTTGCCTCAAAATGTCAAGCAAATGCTCAAGTCTTTTCTGAGATGACTGGGCTAAAACTCCTTTTTCCTCTCCATCTTCCCTGTCTCCTGCACTTGGGTTACAGAACTATGCCCCCCCAACAATCTTTTGTTGTGAAGAAAACAGGACCTTCTTCCCCTTAGTTCCTGTCATCTGCTCCAAGCTGGAAGCAAATGTTCTAACAGTCTTTTCTGTGAAGACCAGGCTCAGACCCATTTTTCCTTCTCCTGACAGCTTGTTGTCCTCTGTTTCTAGGAGAGCAGATGTTACCAGTCTTTTGTGAGCCGACTAGACTAGGATTCCCCCTCAGCTTCCTTTCTTCGTCCTCAAAATGCAGAGTAAATACTCAGTAGTATTTTCTGTGGAGACTGAGCTGAAAGTCTTCTTCTGTCCACCCGCTCCCCTTGCCTCCTGCCTCAAGATGGAGAGCTAATGACCCAGAAGCCTTTTCAGGAGCTCAGACTGAAACTTTTTCTTTCCTTCACTCACTGCTGCCCAGCCTATGTCTCTGTGCCACCCAACTATATTTTCTGAGAAGATTAGACACAGATCCTTCCCCCCCCATTGCTTCCCTGCTTCTAGTCATATGCCCCAAGATGGAGAACAAATGCTCCTCTCATATGTTCTTGCCCCAGAATGGAGAGCAAATCCACACCCCCTCAACAGAATTTTTCTGAGGAGGCTAGGATCTTTTCTCTCCCAATAGTGTTTTCTGAGAAGACTGAACTGGAATTTTTCTCCATTCTATACTTGTCTCCTGCCCCGAGATGAAAAGCAAATGTCCCAAAGAGCCTTTTATGAGGAGATAATACTTGGACGTAGCTCTCCCCCTCCACCCCTGGCATACAGATTCCTGTCATCTGCTTTAAAATGGAGAGCAAATATGCCCCCAACTGCCTTATGTGAGAAGAATGGATTGAGAAATTACCCTCTCACCTTTCTTCCCTGAGAAAACTAGGACTCACCTTACCTCTTCCTTACCTCCTCTCTTCTGCCTTAAAATGGAGGACAAATGTTCCTCAAGTCTTTTCTGAGGAGAATGGACTAAGGTCCTATTTTCCTCTCCTCCCTGTATCTTCTGCCTCTAGGACCTCCTTTCCGCCCCCTTAATATTTTCTGAGATTGAATTATGGCCCTCGCTCCCCCTTTTCCACCTGCTTGCCCCCAAAATCTTTTCTGAGGAGACAAAACTAACTCCCTTCTCCTTCCTTCCCTATCTTCTGCCTCAAAATGGAAGGCAAATGTTCCTCAAGTCTTTTCTGAGGAGATTGAACCAAGACACCTTTTCTCTTCCTGTTTCCTGCCCAGAGGCTAAGCAACAAATTCCCCCTCACACACACCCCTAAAAGTCTTTTTCTGAGGAATGAAGGGCTTTCTTCCAATCATATTTTCTGAGGGATCTCCCCCACCATCTTGCTTCCCTTCCCCAGGATAAGGAGCAAATGCCCCCAACAGTCTTTTCTAAGGAGATTAACCGAGACTTCCCCTCCCACCATCCACTAGATGAGGATCCTTTCCCCCTTTCCTTCCAGATTCTTGTTTTTTTGCCCTTAAATGTAAAATAATGTTCCAACAGCATTTTTGAGGGGACTGGATTAAGGTTCTTTCCCTCTCATTACTGTTTTCTGTATTCTGCCCCCTAAAATATTTTCTGAAGAGACTAGAGTACAGCCCTTTTCTCTCTTTCCCTCAAGCTTTCTGTGCCAGCCACACTATGGAGAACAAATGTCTCTGACAGGACTTTCTGAAGAGACTGCACTGGAACCCCTTTTCCCCCTTTCTTCCCTGTCTCCTGTTCCAGTGTGGGAAGCTAGTCACCCTCAAGAGATTTTTCTGAGGAAATTCCCTGGGCCTGGCCTTGAGGAGGCCACTCTTCACTCTGTCTCCTCAGAAGGAACCACCTCCCCTTTTCTTTGAGAGTTAGGAGCCTCACACTGCCAGTCCTGTACAAATCAACCACTTGAGGAGCCTTTCTGCTGGACCTCCCATAAGTGGAATCTGGACTGAGAAAACACCTCATAGACAGGAGCTCCTTCTCAGCTG